TGTTCCTTTAATCATCCTTGAAAAATGCACAACAAAATCGTTGTTTTTCTCTCTCTTTTTTACGAGTGTGCGCTTATTCTTCTAAGTAATCTAAAATAATTATAAATTGTATCGGTAACAGGTTATTCCTTTTTTTTAAATGAAGGTAATTTAAGAAGTGAAGGATATATGGAAAAAATTTTTCATCCCTTTTCACGCGATAAAGATGGATTATTCATGAGATTGGCATCGATTAGTCGTAACTTAATTCCAAACGAAATAATTATTATAATACATTATAAACAAACAACGACTCCGACTTATTTTGATTCCAAGATGATGGCATCTGGCGCGCGTTTCCCCCCTAAACAATACCTAAACCTCGTGCCAAAATAAAATACCTGTGCTCCCCTCTCTCTTTCGATAATTACCGTGGTTGGTTGGCGCCTCGTATTTATAGATTGACCCAATCTCGCCGAGGGGAGGGGAAATCGGCAGAGAACAAGGCTCGCCAGACGGAGTGAAAAGACGGTCGGCCCGAGGCGGGGCTTTTCACGAAAGCGTAGCCGCGTTTCGCGGGCTTTGTTTTTTCGCCCGACAGCGACCAAATTAACACCGGAGAGGTGAGTAACCGCCGCTTTTGGCAACCAACCCCTCGCCTCTCCCCTCGGATGTCAAGAGACCATTCTCGCGGCAAATTATCCTAACACTTTCCCCGATAAATCCGTATCCACGTTTTGTTCTCTTACTTTCTTTGTTCGCCGAAGGCTGAAGGTGAAAAGTGTCAATCCATCCTTTAAGGTGGAGCGTTTGTTTCGAGAGAGAAAAAAAAAAAACTCAGCAAATTTTATTCGTAATCAAACTGCGTCGATAATTGGAAATACTTTTTTTGTCTGTTCGATCGATTCGTGCGTGGAGTCTCGTTGATCAAATATCAATTTAGTAGCTCTTTCTTGGTAAGAAAAATAATTTTGATGCGAAAGGAGGGAATAATATTCAGAATATTCACGCTTTCCTTGTCCTTCTACTAAAACCTTCATTCAACTAATTTTACCGTAAACCATATTTGAATGCATCGAGAGAATTTTAGCGAATAATCAAGATGACGAGGAGCGGTTTCTAAGCAAGGAAGCTTCGAGTATCTAGCAGTCACTGAACGATCCACGGCTGGATCTTTCGGATGGCGGATGGTTTTCCAGCGTGGAACGGAAAGAAATCCTTCAACCACAGGAAACAGGGCGTCCAATTAACCGACCGATTACCTCCGTGCCCTCCTTATTTACTGTCCGCCCGCTTCAAACTGTATTACCCCGTTCATCTTTCATCTTCGATTCTTGCTGGATTTGGACTAAAGATTGGGCGGCCTTGGTCGAGAACTGGGTCGGCTTCGTTATCGAAAGGTTAAATCCTCGGATGCGAAAGAGAAACCTCGATGATTTTATCCCCCTATAATTGAATTCGAGCCGAAAAGATTTTATCCGGTGTACATATTTCGTTAGCTAATTGAAAGAAGTAGAGAGTTTCGAGGGACGGAGGGGACGAGATTGAATTTTCTTTGTCGGTCGCCCGTTGGCCAACGGGTTTATTTCGTTTACGGAGCGACCGACTCGATGGGAAATTTTCCATTCCCAACTTTTCCAACCGTCCCCCCGGATCGATTCTTCACGCACGCGGTGCAGAAATTTCCGTGGATCGATGAATTACGTGTTCGACGAGGAGAGTTCGAGACCTTGTCTCGATAGACAGGTCGTTTAGTTTCGTAATTTGTCCTATTCCAATATCCTTTTTTGTATAAATTATTCGTATCAATTATTTGTTACGAGGTGTTCGATATGGATAAAGTAGAGAGTGATGATCGTACGTGTAATGAATCGAGAAGAAGGAGTAAAATTCTTTTTCATTCGAGAATTTGTTCTGTCACAGGTAGATCGAGTTTGAAAATGTTTTAAATGAAACGAGAACAAACACTTTTCATTTGAAATTTTGATTTAAAAATAATAGATCGTACACCTTAGATCTCCCAGTCTACGATCCATCCCTGTATCATAAAAGAATCAAGATAATAAATCCTTCATCGTCACGAAATTCATCGTTGAACTCGGCCAATCACGACTAACCATTTCCCACGTGTAATTACGCATTCCGTTTTTCCTTTCGAATTTATTCTCCGAATAAAATTGATCCTCTGAATCCACGTCATAGAGATTTCTTCTTCGTGAAATTCCAACGGAATAGTTGATCGTAGCCAGGTTGAAAAGACGATCCTACCGATGGAAACCAATTAAAACCGTGTTTCGTCTCCTTGTCGTTTGCAATTAGAGAAATTCCATTCTCGAAAGCCTATAGAATCCTTGTCCGATATTAAACGATAAAGAGAGAGACAGGTAGAGAATGCACCGATGCCCTCTCCCTCTCTCTATCTCTCCCCCTCGTTGGACAATCGTCAATGTGTACATGGACGCGTGCTTTCGCCAGAGCTAACGCCACAGGGAATTTCGCGTTTCCTCTGTGTCGACTGTGTTGGACAAGCAACAAAGACAAGGCAGGGTTATCCATTGGCATCGCCTCGATACACGGGTCTAGCCGCGTCTCAAAAGACCCCTCTGATCCGTGAAAGGCCTGGAAACCCCTCCCGCGAGAGTCCATTTGCAAAATGATTTTCCAACATCGGCTCGATGTACGCGAGTTGCGTGATTAACCCATCGTTATCCGCGGCCATATTTCGCGATATTCGTCGAATCGCTTGCTTTTCGTTCGCCCATCGTTTCTCAATGCATGGACACGAATCCCCGTGGATTCTTTCAACTCGTTTTTTTTTTTTTTTCATCTTTGATTCCGACGTTCCATCAACCCGTGATGGAATTCCTTTCCCGATTTGAATTCGAAACAGAGAGGGAGAGGAGAAAGAGAGAGGACGAATAGTTTCTTTTAAAGATCGTTGACTCTTTTTTAAAAAGACCGATCGTTCGCCAATCCCTTCCATTCTCTTTTCCTTTTATCTTTGTTTTCTTTCTTTATGAAATTTCCGATTGGAAAATTCCCATTTCGTACGTTCCCTTGTGATTCATCGAAGGAAGGGAAGATTTTAGTTTTTTTCTCACGTTTTACAGTATCTTGCCTCAAAGATGACGTGAACATCGTGATAAGTTTGAATTTGAATATAATTTGAATATTCGGATTAACTTAATTTTTAATTCTCTCAACGCCGTGTAATACGAGATGTCTGTCACAGGATCACGTACCCTATTTCCAAGCACGTCCGTTGCTATTTTAAGAGAACGATAAGGACGAAACGATTTTGTTGGAAGTGGAAATGGCGAAAGGGGGTCAGCCTACTACTGTCTCTGTGTATTTGTCAGCCGGCTTTCTGGATAACGAGACCGGTTCTCTCTCTCCTCTCTCTCTCTCTCTCTCTTTCTCCGCCCTAAAACGACCCAATTCTCGGGCAGAAACTGTCGATAGAGAATGGAGGAAGGTCAGAGAGAAGACGGAACGCGTAATGGCGGTATCGATCCAGCCGAAACTCGAGGATCGCGAGATAAAGGGCTCCCGTGTGTGGAGACCTTGCGACATCATTCCGCTATCATTCCTCCAACCTTTTTCCCTCCAACAATCGAATCACGTGGACCGGAAACTCCCTTTCCTCCTTCCATCTCCCTCGAGAAATTCTTTCTCTCGAAACGTTCTTCTTCCCTTCTCAAATTAACGAAATTTTCGACGGGTTTAAGTCTTTGCTAATTCGAGTATTTTTTCCCCTAAATTTATATATATATATGTATTTGAAAATTGGATTACTTTTAAATTAATTTTAAATTTAAACAATTTCGATAGATCAACGTTTTTTTCGAAATCTTGTAAATTGACTTTGCGATTGAATTTATCCTTTTTTTTACATTGGTCTCCATTTAAAGTAAATTCTTACTTCCATCCAATCTTGAATCTTGAATTTCATATTTCATGTACCGTTTTAATTTCCATTTTTCTTCTTCATTCTTTATACGATTCCTCCGTTGTTCCACTTGCACATCGATTTTCTTCCTTCTTTCTCCCTTTCGAGGAGCACGAAGACACACCTTTGCTTGATTCAATTTCCTCCTAACCGCAGGGTATGGTAAGTGCGTGCATTTTTTCCCTTTATTCTTCCCCTTCCTCCTTGTTTGTCTCTGGCCACGTGACCGTGTGACTTCACGCTTTCTTCCCTTCCTCCAACTTCCTCCAACTCCATGTTCTCGCTCCGCTTTTCTTCCCTTCTCCTTTCCTCTTTTTTCTTTTTCTTCATTTCGCTTTTTTGCCTCTCCCATACCATTGCCCTTATTCTTGTTCGCCGCCAAGTTTACCTTGCCTCCACCTAGTCTCGCTTCCACCCCTTTGATGCATTATTCAGAAAAATTATTCCACACAAATCATTTCTCTTATTGACCCACGTTAATGGCGATTAAGGCCATTCCATCTCTCTCTCTCTCTTTTCGAAATGACTTTCTGAGAAGGAGAAGGAATATCTTTGTTATTTAAAAATCGAGAGATTATTTATTTTATTTATTCTATTTATTCTCCAAGTATGTATTCGACGTTTCACGATCCATCGTTGAAGCTGTACGAAAACGTAACTAAGCGTTCATTCGGATCGTTTTCCTTGTTTCGACGAATGATATGATGGCCACTTTCCCGTATTCGACGCGTGTCGACGTCACTCCAATCCAGGAAGAGCTGTTTCCATTTTGTCTCGTGTCTCGTTTGATTAATGGAGACGTTTAACGTATCGATATGCAGATGGTTCCTTATCTCGTGTCTTTTGCGATACGAAAATTTACGAGATCGAAGGATCGAAGAATTTTCAGAGAAGCGAAAGTGTATTCATAATGGAAATATCAATTTTAAATTTTAAGTTAAAGTAAAGAAGTTTATCGATTCGATGAAAGCGCAAATTTGTAAAATTCAAAATTTAATTAATTAATTTACGCTCGTCGAAAGAGAAAACGATTAGAATGTACAGCCTTTTTTTTTTTT